TGACTGACACTAAAATGAATACACAAACTGTTGCTAGTCTCCACTCACTCCTGAAGGAAATATGAGGCTCTTTAGCTACTAAAGGCTCCACTTTCTTCACCAGCTAACCGCTAACTATTTCTGTCTGCTGAGAAACGGAGAGCTTTTTCACTAACGCTAATGCTACCACATAAGAACAGAAAACGTTGCTGCCTCTCATGTATCAACTACATTCAAGTCACAATGGTTAACTGTGCATGTCTATCTATCCAACAGGATCAATCAAAACATCTGGGGGTTATTAGTTATTTACCTTGGTGGAAAACAACAAATAACCGTGAGAGTGAACTAAAACAGTAAAGCTGTGGTTGATAAATTAAAACAATGAGGTGGGAAATGCTGCTGAGGGAGAGCAGCAGAGTTGGATCATCATTATAAACGACCGATTTCAGTCATATATAGTCATTCAATCCATTGTGATTATAAGTATATAAATGATACCCGTTTTTATAGCCATTAATTCATCGAGGAAACACAGTCAGTTTAATCATTTACTATGATTTTTTCCTCAAATCAGTGTTCCAGTGCAAATACAAGTCAGTCATTAACAGCATTATTCCCAACCTGAACAATGTCCATCAGCAACAGTAAGATCAGCTTATTCGTGGTAACATTTCAGACAGATAATGACACCTTGGCTACACCTCAGAGGGAGGGCTTTGTTTCAACTAGCACCCTTAGTTGAAATATGGGGTTTGTACATTGAGCATGATCACATTCTGCAGTCCTCAGAGAAAAAGCATTCACATTTACATGTACATTGGGTCACACTTGGGATAAAGACAAATCAAATCTCAAGAGGATGCGGCCCTCCAGGCTGAGAGGTCACTTGACATTTGAAAATGAAATGAGACACACAGACATTAAGACCAGAGTCACATTGTGTTTTTCAATATAACTGATAATTCATTAGCTTTCTTTAGCTAGTTTGACAGCTGATGGGTAGAATTTATCACCTCTGGCAGCCCCAGTAACCTGACACTACCTGACATTCCTGTAATATTGTAAATTTCCTTGTCAAGCATGTCAAAATAACAGTAGAAATTATTTGAAATAAATATTTTTCACTGCACTCCGGTCCAAACAAACATAAGTAGAATTCAGAAACAAAAACTAATGTGTACAACCCTGTTTACATGTTTTTAGCTCAGTTACTTTTTTTTTTTTATTGTTGGACTTTGGGATGCAACTAATGATTATTGTCATTATTGATTAATCTCTTTATTATTTTCCCCATCGATTGTCTATAAAATTAAAAAACGCTTATTCCAATTTCCTGAAGCCCAAATTGCTCGTTTTCCAACAGTCCAAAACCTCCCAAAATCTGTTTACTATCAGATGAAGAAAAGCAGCACATAGTTGAGATGCTAGAACTAGGGAATGTTTGGTATTTTTTCTTAAACAATCAAATAAAAATATCGATTAATCAACTAATCATGTTTGCTTTAGTTCTAGTTGAAATGAAGCTACTTGCACCTTTGTTAAAGCAAAGAAACAACCTGAAGATAATTTAAAATGCAGGATACAGACAAATTAATATGAAGCGAGTTAAATGTGGCTTACACATTTAACCCTAGAAACATTCATGGACAACATTAACAAGTGTCAAAAATCAAGGCAAATACAATAAATTATAAAAATAAACCATTAGATAAATGAATGAATAAATAAAATTAAATAAATCATTACAAATATAAATAATCAGGAATGAACCTCCACATGCCACCAGGGCCTGCTTCACATGTGTGCCAGTCAACACTCATGCAGTTTGCCACTTACATAATCAACTACATACTTTACATCCCTCATCCTCTCTTGATCAACAATTCATGAGGCAGACAATTTACAGAGTTACAAATACAAAGTTCCCTTTTTAGTTTGGAGAAATGTTTCTCAACTGGTGGGTCGGGATCCAAACAGGCTGCTCTGACAGGGTCACAAACAAACAGGGAACTTGATGGGGAATTAATGAGTTCTTTAATACATTTTGGTTGTGACTTCCTGACAGTGTTTTGGTCCCAATTCAAACCCAAGCAGTAGAGACATTCTTCTTTATAGTACAGTTCACCGTACAGGGCTCGAGACGGTGTCAGACATTATTGTGCTGACACCGTTTCAAGACTAACGCAAAGAAGTGCTCATATTATACAACGGCGTCCCCCGTCCCTGGGATATTACTCTGTACAAGTGATTGGTGATGACAGGTGCTCAGTAACAAAAAAAAACAAGACTCCATCAGCCACTAACACAGGAGAGTGAATTATACAGATGAGTTCAAATTACAAATAATTGGAGACAGCGTTTTTTTGACAATGGAAAAAAACCTGAAGCTTTACATTCATGATGCTTTCCGAAAGTGCACTTCATTAAATGCACAATCTTGAACTCAAGCTTGAAATTAAGAAAAGTATGTAAAGCTTTCTGAAACTATCACTGCCATTCTGCTTAAGACATTAATCCATTAACCCCAAAGAAAAAAAGCCTTTACATCTTGAATGACAAATGAGTGAAAGCGTTATTCTGTCCCTCTGATGCATTAACAACCAGACCCGGGTCAAATAAGATTTCCAAATACTTTTCATGGTTTGGTCGAGCACTTTTAGATGCCAAATTGTAGGTTTTTTGTTTGTTTTTTTAAATCACAAATGGCAAAACAACTAATGTCAGAAAGGTATAATATTCACAGTAAATGTCTTTCTGTAATTTAGTGACAATATTGTAGATGGGGGAGAGTGAACAACCCCCATTAAGTATTAATTAAAGCTAAAAACAGATTCGTTTTCTAAGTACTAATTGGCCTAGACCTGTCACAATCCAAAGGCTAACAGCAGGGACAGTCCCCTTCTTATGTTGGATCGGTGAAGGGCCCAAGGCTGTATGCACATAGTTAGGACCAGAATCCGGGTCTGTAGCGGTAAGGTGAGTCTTTGGGAAAGCTGATCTCCGGTCTACAGAGTGGGACGGTTCCATCCCGGCACTGTCCCTCATCCAGCTGATCCAGCAGGTTCTCCTTCCTGCGGGGGGAGTAGGGCGTTGGGGCCTCCATGGGCGTGGGTAGCACCGCCGGGTCTCTACCAAACTCTACAGTCGGAGGAGTCTCTGTGCTGGACGTGTGGGCGGGGGACTCGCCGTTACCCAGGCATTGTCCGTTTCCCCTGGGCTTCCCTTCCGCCCAAAACACATCACCGCGTGCCCGCGGTGAAGGCCGAGGCCGAGCCACAAAGTCAAGGGTTTTGGGGCGTTCAGGAGCACAGCGACGACGGGGGGTTGGCGGGAACACAATATTTGGATCGGGGAGCCGGGGGACCTCAGGACTGTCTTCTCTTAAACCTCTAAAGCCACCTGTTGTGGTATGGAAAGAAAAAGAAGCACAACAATGAGAGAAAATACAACATCATATTTCCAGACTGAAATAAAAATTATACTAAGACTAATATTTTGGCTGGTGGCTTTCAGGGTCATATTATTAAATATCAGGTGTCGACTATTGAAAGTATATATGGGGTGTCGATCAATAAAGCACGCCATTAATACTGTATGACTGAGAAGGTGCTCAGCCAAGCGCTACATAAGTGACAATGTAAAACCTTAATAATTTTTCTCTTTAAAAATGCTAAATATATTCAGAATAGAATTGTTTTTTTCTGTGCTAAATACTGTTTAAGAGGATTTTTTATAGTTTAAGTGTAAAATAACAAGACTCTACAGCCATGCTAGCAGATCTATGAGGCGGTGCTTTGAGCTAAACGCTAGCATAGCAACATGCTCTTAATGACTACGCTAACATGCTGATATTTAGTAAGTTTATTGTTTAATGCATTCCCATCTCAGTGCAGCATTTTACCATGCAACACTGGATAATTAGAAAACACACAAAACATCATTGTACTACTATACACCAATTTACTATAAGACCAAGAAAAGCAGCAAATCCTCACATTAGAGAACCTGAAACCATAAAATGATGAAAAATGACAATTAATAGATTATTAAAGCATTATTTGATATCTTTCTTTCAAATGACTAATCAGTGAATCAACTAGAGGTTCTCGGTACCATGAATTTCTGTACAAGATTTTCATGGCAATCCATCAAATAGTAATTTCAGTCTGAGCCAAAGTGTTGGACATGGCCATTCCTAGAGCTACCCCACTAGTGTGACTAGACATTTTCAGCATTCAATAGTCAAAAATATGAGGGAACTGAATATCATCAAACACACATAAAAAAACATATGCATCAGTATCAACCTTCAAAAAGTGGTAAAAACACACAAGACTTTACCTGTGTTCTCTAATGCTGTTTTTTCTGGCAATGGTTCCAGATTATTAGGAAGGCAGCTCTTCTTGATGGCCCCGTCTGATGGTGTTCGACGCAGGCTACGCGAGGAACTTGGGGCAGAGGGTACATGTGTGGGTGTGAGAGACTGTCGGGGGTTACGCTTGAAGCTCTCAAGGTGGGTGTTGACCAGCGGGTTGACTGGGGTTTGGATGGCCTGATGCTGTGAGACAGGAGGCGGTGAGGGAGGGTGGTAGACCAACAAATCCTCACTGTCAGTGCGCAGCAGCGAGCGGGTAGAGTTGCAGTCAGACACTGATGATAAGGACAGCAGCGTGTAAGAGGAGGGCAAACCTCGCTCAGGCAAAGAGGGCGCCGAGTGTTTCAGCGGGCTTTCCCGCCGGAACAGTCTACGAGTCTGGGGGCTGGTGCTCCGCCTCTGGCCCCCTGTTCTGTGGAAGAAACCATCCCAACGTGATTTGATGCTCTCCTCCGGCTGGGACAAAGTTAACAGGTTGCAGCCCAGTCCGACAGCTGCCAAAAGAGCTCCACAGCCCAGCAGGACCAGCTCAGACCGCCGGCCCCCACCGGGGCTCTTCCTGCATGGTGGTGTACCTGGAACCTGGCCGCTGGGGCAGTACTCGTCTCCATCACCGTCAGCAGCAGCAGCAGCAGCCGTGTTGCCCTCCTTATGGAAGGGGATGCAGAGGTAGGATTGACCAGGAGCTGCTCCTGGCTCAGTAGTGAAGCAGCAGTCTTCATTTTCTAAAAACAGGATCATTCATATGTTCATTTGGTTGTAGAAAACCAGTATTTGTATATATAATCACATAGTTCATAATAGTTTATGTTGCACAGTCAACAAGCCTTCAATATCATATAACAATTCCTCTAAAACATGAAGCAACTTGAGGCCTACTGCAACATTGTTACTTGGATTCCAACCGTCCGAGTTTGGTTTGCTGAATGTGCTTTTTCAGCAACAGCCCGTTTACATTCACACAGCTACAAACATGCACATCTGTGAGTTTCTCAGGTCAACCACTAAGAGCCATGTGGGAGTGAAGTATCTCACTCATCACTATCATGTTTTCCCAGCCAGTCTGCCACTTCGCTAACCTCTAGACTACAGCTGTTCTCCGTATTTTTTTGTGGAGTGACAAAATAGATTTAATAAGCTGGTCCTGCTTACCCATCTCCACAAGGCTTGGCACTCCAGGCACTGCTGGGCTGTGTCTCGGGGATCTGCGGAGGTTTGGGGCGCTGCAGGACCGCTGCCTGCTGCCTTCATGAGGAGGCTTCACACTGTCAGGTAGAAGATTAGACAGAAATAATGAAAAACAGGCTCAGAGTTCATTTTGTAAAAGACAGTTTTCATTTTAAAAGCATGTCTGTGTGGACTGATCTGTTATATAAAAAAACATGAACAGAAAATAATATGGTTATCTGGAGAAAGTGGGTAAGGACTGTTTCTAGACTAGAAATCTTTGCTCTTACGTGGCATCAGCGCTGTGCTCCCTGTATGGGCCACACCCACGGGATCTACCCTTTTTCCTGGACCCCTTCCTTTCACACTCCTCTTCATCCTGCTGGAAACATGTGTTGCGACCCCAGGCTGTACATCCCTCCCCCGGAGTGACTGGAAAAGCAGACATTTGAAAAAGAATACATTATGAGAATTAAAATCAAAGGGCAAACATGAGATAGCTTGTAATGAATAATAACTGAAGTAAGCAAACCAAGTGAATTTAGACTTCCTTGGAGAATACACAAATTCTGTGCTGCATGGTAGTAATGATGAATTTTTAAATTTAAGATTCTGAGGGGCCTTACGTTGGATGGCTCTCAGGCGGGGCAGCATAGGTGGACTGGTCTGAGGACTGGAACTGCTGCTGAGCAAACTCCTCCGCCGATCATGTGACGGAGACGCCTGCACTGTGATTTTGTGCTGAAAATCTAAATTAGGATTGAAAAAAAACTCAAGTTAAAGCTACAGTAGGCAATATTATTTCATTAGAATTTTGGAAGAAATAACACATTTTGGCCATTGCACTAACAATGTTTAAGTGAAGAGTTTCTTCAAAAAAACAAGTGTCTCTGTGAATAGTATATTTTTAAAAACTGTCTGAATCAAACAACCAGTCACAGTTAGCTAGCATGTAACTAGCCAATCACAGTGACTCTGTATAAACAAGGGTTATCTGGGTTTGACATGTATCCAATACCTCCCCTGCCTACAATTGTGTATAGTACAAAACAAACAAATGAAAAGAGAAAATGAAAGCACTAAAGAAACACGGAGATCAACTAGGGTCAACATAGGAGAGGCCTTTTTTAAGATGGTGTTGATCCAGCGATATGTTTATGAGAAAAAAAATATTAGTAATGACCAAAATTCAGAGTGTTATCACAGTATCCCAACTCTCACTCTGACTGCTGTTAACACACCAGTTTGTTAGCACTACAGTTTGTTTGCAGTACCTGAAGGCAGGCTGATCCTGTTCCCATCCTTGAGTTTAAGGCGGTTGCGGCGGAACTTGCCCTGCCTGCTCTCCACGTGAGGCTTTTCCTGGTAGAGTTGGTGAATGATGATGTTGAGCTCTCGCTCCAGGATGTGGATCTCCCGCTCGGCCAGTTCCTGCTCGCGCCTCCTCAACGCCTCCTCCTGGCACTTCTGCTGCAGTGCAGCTTGGGTCAGCTCCTCCTCCCACGATCGCAGCTCCTGAGGGAACATAAATAAGAGGTGAAGGTAAAACAGCTGCATTGAACTCCCAACTTTAAACGTCCCTAATGCAAAAAGATTCTAATATGTATGTCATTAGAGAAGAGTTTAATTGCAGATTTTTACATCAATTTCACCATCTTTACCTTCTCCTTAGTCCTCAGTTGATCAAACATTTCCTGGATCTCCAGTTTCCAGTCATCCTGCAGAGAGTGGAAGGACTCAACTGGCATCTCAAAAAAGCCTGACTCCTCGATGGCTGTGAGCTGGTCCAGAATAGTTGTGAAATGTGGTCGGGAGTGAGGGTCTGGACTCCAGCAGTCTGTGGCAAAAGATGAAAAACATTCAAAAACTTGAGCAAAGTTATTTTTGGCACTTCAAGTGGTTCCATAAAAGTAATATATTCTGTTTGTTTATTTGATGTTTCTAAGTTAATTTTTAGATGATTTTCTTGCTCCAGTGGATAAACACACAAAAGAATCCTGTGGTTACTCTTTCCTTTTTTAATAATTCATTTTAAAAAGTATCTTTTGACACATACCTTGACGACTGTGTTATATTTTGCCTGCGGCTCTCCATTACAAAAAGTCTGGACACAGTTCTGCAATAACGATGTGATTATTTACATCCAATTTGGAGGATAATTATTTGCTTTGAGCAGAATAAGATTTTGTTCCTCTTACCCTCCATAAGACGCGCAAAGGGCTCAGGACAGGTTGAGGGAATGGGCAGAGCCAGTTTGTTCATTGCCACCCCATACGCCACTGCGAGACCATCGATGCCCCGAAATGGAACTTCTCCTGTCAGCAGCTCCCACAACAACACGCCATAACTTTATTGATGAAGAGGGACAGAACAAAAAACACAGAATGGATGAATGAATGAATGTAATTAATCTTCTTCTGCACTCATGTAAAAACCGAGGTGAGACAGAAACAATCAACATTTCAACAGAGCTGACAGATCCACGTGACTAATGCCAAAACCATACAGTGATGAGCTGTGAGTAAATGACCAGCAACAAACCAGGAATGACTGAGTGTTATGGATTTTTTATAGTTACCTAGTGGCTTACTGTTTCTGTTAAATATACATTAACAAAATTCTGGCAAATGTGATCAACTTAACATCAGACAGAAATCTAATAATACCTGTAACTTCAAACTCCCTCTCATATTAAAACAGGGCAAAACAAACCACTGAAATGATTTGGGATTATTATTTGACCAAGTTTCATTCTACATTAGAGTAGAAGCATTGACTGTTAGGAAGACAAAGTAATTCCCCTCCCTGGTCGACACTCCTGAGGACATTCGTCATCCCTCTCATTATAATGCATGCTGCCTTTAGTTGGCTCTCTCGCTGATCACACTGTAATCCTGGGAAACCCCACATTCAGTCAGGAACAGCTCAGCTCGACAGTTAATGCTACTGAACGTGTAGCAGAGAAGAAAATAAAGAGAATAATGACACATGGCATTATAGCTAACTATAAAAAGGTCTTTAAAAAGGTCAGAAAATGTAGATCACAGTTTGCTTTTTTAGTATGACCAACCGTCCAAAACCCAATGACAGTCTGCTTACTGTAATGTAAAGACAATGCTCAACTCATTGGTATTTCTGCTTAAAAAAACGATTATTTTGCAGCTATTTTGGTAATGCATTAATCTATGGTCACACTGAATATGGACATAAATAAGTACATGTGTACATCTTGTTGACCTAAAAAGGAAAAAGTACCTTTGTACCACCCTGCGCTTATATACACACCTTAGCATTTAAAAGGTTATTATATAGATTTATTATTATTTGCCATTTTTAGAAATTCATCCTCCTCATCTCCTATTGTTACTTTTATTCCTGTTTTATTGCATACTATAGCCTTTTTGGCACAGCCTCAAGAGCTGTGTTGGGCGATATTATGACTTTACTTATTATTCCCTACCAACAGTAATTAGTGACACTACTCATTTTAGATATTACTTTTCTGCTAATTGGTAATTGTATCCGTTCTCCCCAAAATTCTGACTTTAAGACAATTAAAATCCAGTTTTCTTTGTTAAAATCAAAGCAATGTGAATATTTATATTTCCATCTTCCAAGCTAGTTTCCTCCACGATTCAAAAATGAATCCAAGGGTGTGATTGGATTGTTGGATTTCAAATCAGTAGGGGATGAAAACAAAAGGCAGGTTGTAACTTATTATTATTTTATTAATAATTAGTTATATTACTAGTTACTGGGGAAAGTAATATTTATACTGTAATATTATTACTAGTAATGCCTAAGCACCTTGCATGTGACAAATGAAACCTTCAGTCTGGAATCTGAATTCAAATATACAGTACTGTATTACTTTGCTTTGCACCAGAGTCCAGTCAAAAGTCAATGTCTTTCAGTCTTTTAGAGAGTCACTGTGATAACTTATAGTGCTATGTACTGCAAGCACATGAACCTATTGTTGAATGTATATTTATATGTACTCTTTACTTTTGTACTGTCTCTGAATGCACAACATTCTGTTCTTTTTCCAATGTGCCAGTCTGTGCTTTGTTTCCATGGCAACTGCTGCCCGAGCTGAACTTTTTCTTGTGCATGTTGGATAATCTGATTCTCTTTCTGGCTCCATTTTCAGACCAGTTTCTACAACCCGGTGCAGTTTGTCTGCCGCATAAACCCCCTCCTCTGCCCACCTCCAAATGTCGCTACCCTTGGAGAACGTAGATGAGCGGATGACTTCGGGAGCCATCCAGGCGTAGGTGCCAGCAGCGCTCATCTTGGTGGTGCGGTGCCACTCTCGAGCCAGTCCAAAGTCTGTGATCTTCAGGGTCTTGTTGCTGAGGTCTTCCATCTCGACCCGCTCAAGGATGAGGACTGGAGTGGTCGGCAATGGTGGACCGGAAGGTGATGAGGGGATTTTGGTTGGAGGATGTGGGGAGGAGGTTGGAGGATGTGGGGAGGAAGGGGTGTGGGTGGGGATACGTGCACGATTGGCAGGTGGGTTGACGGTAAAGTAAAAAGGTTTCAGGTAATCATCACCAGGATTGTAATGTTGGGAGGGGCGGCAGCAGGAGATAAAACACAATGCATGTGGAAACGCAAAGAATTAGACACATGGTGGATGAACAAAACAGGGTGCGGTTGGTGGGAGGCCATGATGAAAGGAATGGAAGGATAAAAGCAGAGTAGAGAAAAGAGAGAACAAACAGAGAAACCAAGAAACAGTGAGCGACTACAACAGAGGAAAGCAGAGGTGAAAAACACATACTTGATTAATGCTAATGATCTCACAGTATATATTTATATATAACACAACATCTCACACAAACACCAATACTACAGTTAAACTACACAAATTTCCTTTTACAACACACTCATTTGCTCTGATAGACTCTAAAAAAACAACCCATTCCCAACATGCACGAGCAAAGTAGTGCTCCTCCTAACCACATGCTCACTCTCCCCCATTCAGCTCTACAGTGCCAGACCATCTGCTGTGGCTGTGCCCGATGGAGAGGGTGTGTCTGCAGGCTGCGGTGCACATCAAGCGCCCCTTCATCTGCTACTCATGTGGCTCTAATGCTTCGAAAGAAAAACGGAATCCAAACATGTGGCTAAAGTAAAATCTGCTCCCTTGTAGCTCAAGAGGTCGAACGTTAAAGAAACATAGCCGATCCCCCCCCCGAGGCCAATCATGCTCCAAATGTATGCACTCACTGTAATGCATGGTGCTTTAGATAAGAGCTAAATCTAAATGGCATGTTATGTTAAAGGGAGACAGTAGAGATAGTTAAAGGGTTGAAGGTACAAGCACATTTTGTTTTTGAAGCATGAATACATTACGTAGGATTTATTGTTTCCCACATTCCCATTAGAGTTTGGTGGATGCTGATAAAACAGATTTTCAGTAAATGTGTCATGCCATGCATGGGTGTTAATGTGTCTGGGAAAGGTACACAGAGAACACCACACCCACCAGTGTTTCACAAGAAAGGGTATGAAGAAACACCAACACTACTAACTACTCTGATATAAATGCTAATGTTAGCATGCTAACTTGTTTCCAATGACTAGGCTAACATGCTGATGTTTGTGATGTTTTTCATGTTCACTGTCGCTAAGTAGCACTACATATAAAGTGCAGCTGATGCTGATGGTAATTCCATTAGCTTTGCAAGAATTTGGTCATGAGTAAGTAAGCTGATGTTTTGGCCTGACAATGACCAGGTCAAAAATCATCACAGTTATTACAAGTCAAGTCAGTTTTCTTTATATAGCAGCCCAATATCGCAAATTATAGATTTGCCTCGAGGGGCTTTTACAAGCTGTATAGCATACGACCCGCGGTTGTGGCTCAGAGGCAGAGCGGGTCGTCCCCCAATCAGAAGGTTGTTGGTTCGATCCCTGGCTCCTCCTGCCACGTGTCGAAGTATCC